TGTGCAGTGGGATTTGGAATGCAGGATGAGATGGTTTGTGCAGGATGGGATGGTTTGCTCAGTGGGATTGGGAATGCAGGACAGATTGGTTTGTGTAGGATGGGATGGTCTGAGCAGTGGGATTGGGAATGCACGAGGGGGTGGTTTGTGCAGGACAGGATGGTTTTTGTAACAGGATTGGGAATGCAGGATGGGATGATCTGTGCAGGGGGATTGGGAATGCAGGATGGTTTGTGCAGGATGGGATGATCTGTGCAGAGGGATTGGGAATGCAGACAGGATGATCTGTGCTGGACAGGATGGTTTGTGAAGGACAGGATGGTTTGAGTAGGGAGGTTTGTGCAGTGGGATTGGGAACACGGGATGGTTTGTGCAGAATGAGGTGATCTGTGCAGGATGGGATGGTTTGTGGAGTGAGATTGGGAATGCAGGACAGGATGATCTGTGCAGTGGGATTGGGAATGCAGGAAAGGATGGTTTGTGCAGGATGGGATGGTTTGTGCAGGATGATGTGTGCAGTGAGATTGGAAATGCATGAGGGGATAGTTTTTGCAGCAGTATGGGTAATGCAGGGAATGCAGGACAGGCTGATCTGAGCAGGATGGGATGGTTTGTGCAGTGGGGTTGGAAACGCAGATGGGATGGTTTGTACAGGACAGGATGGTTTGTGCAGAGGGATTGAGAATGCAGGGAACACACAGGGAATGATCTGAGCAGGATGGGATGGTCTGAGCAGGATGGGATGGTTTGTGTAAAGGGATTGGGAATGCAGAGAACGCCCAGGGAATGATCTGTTTGTGGAGGATGGGATGATTTGTGCAGGACACGATGATCTGTGCAGCAGGATCGGGAATGCACGGAGCACACAGGGAATGATCTGTGCAGTGAGATTGGGAATTCAGGGAATGCCCAGGGAATGATCTGTGCGGGATGGGATGGTTTGTGCAGCGGGATTGGAAATGCAGGTTGATTTGTGCAGGACACGATGATCTGTGCAGTGGGATTGGGAATGCAGGGAATGCACAGGGAATGATCTGTTTGTGGAGGATGGGATGATTTGTGCAGGACACGATGATCTGTGCAGCAGGATCGGAAATCACGGAGCACACCGGGAATGATCTGTGCGGCGGGATCGGGAATCACGGAGCACACCGGGAATGATCTGTGCAGCAGGATCGGGAATTCAGGGAACACACAGGGAATGATSTGTGCAGGACACAGAGCCGGCTGGCCGGGCAGGGGTGCTCATTGCACAAGGGCTGCTCTCTGCTCCTCCCGATGTCCCGCACATCTCCCATTGTTCCCGCACTGTGGCAATGTTTGCTGACCGATATCAGGGCTGGGCTGTGCCAGGCAGTGTCACAATCCAGGGAGCAGCTCCAAATGCTGCTGCTCCTCGTTTCACARGACTGGAAACCTGGCAGGATGGCTCTCCCTGCCGTGTTCGGGGGTTCCTCTGGGACAGGTGACATTCAAACCAAATTCTTCTGAGTACAAACCCCATTTTCCCTAAAGCATGAGGGCAGAATAAGGCAAGCAATGAATCCCACCCCACTGCCAGCCATCCCTGTTTTAAACACATTCCTAGTGCACCTCTAACTCCTTTGTGTCATATCTGATATATCCCTGATTTGAGTGCTCTATGGGGTAGGTTTTTCTCTGGGGTGGAGAATGACCCACCCCCACACATCCCATGAGGATTGCAGAGTTGTCAGTGCTAACACTGGGGTAACAATCAGCCCCTCCATGTGCAGCCACTGCCCAAATTTTCCTTTTCCCTCCTTCACAGARGCAGCAGTGCTGTTTCCCCCTGCCCATGGGGGCTGAAATGTTTGTTTTCCTTTGCAGCAACTCCAGCTGTGGCTGCCCCTGGATCCATGGAAATGTCCAAGGCCGGGACTCCCTGAGAGTTCACCACTGCTGAGCAAGGGAGGGCACAGGGAATGAGCTTTTTCTCCTCAGGCAGGAGAAACAGCCCAGGTGAGCAGCATTTTCACTCATGCCCTGCTCATTCCTGGAGACAGAAATGTGTGTTTAGCTCTGGATTCACACCAAAGGCTTCCCAGCAGAGCAAAATGAAGAGAAGGTGAGTCCTGTGCTGCTCCCAGCACAGGATAGCAATGGAGACGTGTTTGTGTTTTAAATTTAACCCAAAACTCCCAAATCTTGGCAGCTCCAGCCCTGGGAGAGACCCCTCTTCTTTTCTGATGATGTAGATCAGTGCAAACCCCCGTAAGAGGACAATAAATAATTTTTATTATGGATTTCTGCATCTAGCTATGAGACTAAAATGTCAATAATTAAACTTTCAAATCACYCCCAGATACTGGAATCACCCAAACTGCCAGCATTAACGAGTCACAAAGGCAACAAACTGGACAAACTCGGGCTGGACTCAGAACCAGGGGCGAGGATACAAATTCAGGTCACCAAATCCAAACACCTCTGCAATCCTTCTCAGGGGCAATTGCCCAGAACACGCTGCCACCCATCCCTGCCCGCTGGCACCCACAGTTCTGGGCTGATTCCATCATCAGGGGCTGAACAACCTTGAACTGGCTCTGCTGGAACAATCCTGGGCAGGACGGCACCAGAGGGAGCCCCAGCCATGGCTGATGACCCGATTTCCACGCTTTGGCTTTGCTCTTCTCCAGAGATAAAGCGGGGGGAGGCTGAGAGGCTGGAGCCTCTCCGGGTGAGTGAGATTTGCCCTGGATCAGAGCAAACCCTCTGGGGGAGCAGCAGTGGCCACTGCAGACAGCAGAGCCCCTCTTCAGGAAAAACCTGGATTTTTTTTTTTTTTCTGAAAATCTGTCGCCCTGGAGAGTCCTTCGTCTTCTTTCCACTGCTTAAAACTTCTCATTTCCTTGGAAGCACCGGGGTTTGTGGACAGCTCTTCCTGCTCTAACAGACACCTTTGGRTTAATGATGGATTTCAGTGTCACCAGCTGGATTTGGTGACAGAATTTGGTTTGGAACCAGAGAATGGTTTGGGTCGGAAAGGACCTTAAAGATCATCCAGTTCCATCCCCTGCAATGGGCAGGGACACCTTCCACTGTCCCAGGGTGCTCCAAACCCCGTCCAGCCTGGCCTTGGACACTTCCAGGGATCCACGTCCCTCTGCTAATAAATTTAGAGGGGAGGTTTGGGTTTTAGCTGTGCCCAAGCTCTTCCTGAGGAATGCATTCACAGGAATAAACCATGGAAAAGCACTGGAGCTGATGCATCCCTGACCCTGGAGCCTCATCACTGACTGGGGGATGTTGGCAGTGTCACAGCTTCCAGAGCCTAAAGGGGCTCCAGGAGAGCTGGAGAGGGACTGGGGACAAGAGATGGAGAGACAGGACACAGGGAATGGCTTCAAACTGCCAGAGGGCAGGGATGGATGGGATATTGGGAAGGAATTGTGCCCTGGGAGGGTCGGGAAGCCCTGGAATAGAATTCCCAGAGAAGCTGTGGCTGCCCCTGGATCCCTGGCTGTGTCCAAGGCCAGGCTGGACGGGGCTTGGAGCACCCTGGGACAGTGRAAGGTGTCCCTGCCCATGGATGGGGGTGGATGGGATGAGCTTTGAGGTCCCTTCCAYCCCAAACCACTCTGTGATTCTGTGATGGGAACACAAATGCCAGAGGGGGCWCTGCTGGGGGAGCTCTGCAAAGTGTCACAGCTTTGGGGAAGAACTTCAGAAAACACCATATGTGGGGTGGCCAGGCTGAATTTTTGGTCTTTTCCCCACTTTTTGCAGGAGCAGGACAGCGCTGGGCTGGGGTCAGCAGGGACCGGGCCGTGTGTGTGCTCRATTCCCGCGGGTTTGTCCCCAAACTGCGGCTGCCGATGGCCCCGGTGGGGACCAAACTCAGCCTTGCTCCCTGCCCGGCCCGGGGCTGCGGCTCTGACATCCTGCCCGTTCCTGCTCTGTTCCCGATTCCTGCCCGTTCCCCGCCCGCCCCATTCCCACTCCATTCCCGTTTCCTGTCCCTCCTTTCCCGATCCCTGCCCGTTCCCGCTCCATTCCCGCCCCATTCCCGATCCGTGCCCGTTCCCTGCCCTTCCATTCCCGATCCCTGCCCCTTCCCTGCCTCTCCATTCCCAGTCCCAGCCCGCTTCTTTTCCGCTTCGTTCCCAATCCCTGTTCGCTTCATTCGCAATCCCTGCCCGTTCCTTTCCCGCTCCATTCCACCTGTCTGCTCCATTCCTTCTCCCTTTCCTCTCCAT